TCGGTACTAGGAGCAAGGACGCTACTAGGGGCTCCTGGCATCGGTACAGGAGCAAGGACGCTACTAGGGGCTCCTGGCATCGGTACTAGGAGCAAGGACGCTGCTAGGGGCTCCTGGCATCGGTGCAAGGACGCTACTAGGGGCTCCTGGCATCGGTACTAGGAGCAAGGACGCTACCAGGGGCTCCTGGCCTTACTACTAAGAACAAGAAGCTATTAGGATTTCTCCAGATCCAGAGCCCAGGTCGACCCCGAGATGTTGTGCCTCGCCGATGATCCGGTGCGCAGGGCAGCTGATGGTTTGACGTTTGTTGGAGAGGATTCGTTCTCTTCCCCACTTTACAACATGAATGTACTGTAAGTCCTTGTCTCAATTGCTCAATTTGCTTGCTTGTCTGAATTGCTCGGACTTTCGGGGGTAGCACAAGCGGGTGGTCTTGCGAGTCAACAGTTCTTGCTGCTTTTCTTCAGTGTCGAGAGCACTTTGAAGAACGCCTGCCTCTATATGGTTTGGCTGGCTCCACGAATTGCACAAGAATGGTTGCACATCGCGAAACTTTCAGAATCTCTTAGCCATTGATTCCCGTGAATCACTGCCCAGGACCTGATTGCAGAGCTCGGCTCTGGCGACAGCTTTGGCGAGTTGCCCGGTCACCCAGCGCTCAGGGATTTAGCCTCCTCTACATACATCTTTGCCAGTCATTGGTGCTGAGGTCTTTGATTTACAACACTTTCCGTGAGGCGAAGGGGGTTTGCTAAACTCAATTCAGATGGCCATTCCACTAGCAGATCTTGGAGTTCTAAAGCATAACGGCATAACAAAATCAGGCAAACCTCCTCAGTAGAAACTCAGTGCAGGTCCAGGTCCTGAAGGGATGTTCATATGAATTTCCCTCCACAGATACCACCAGTGTTTGTGTATTGTTGAGCTTCGCCCACTGGAAGGGTGTGCGGTGTGGAAGATGAGACTGACACCCACACTAGATTGAAAGGAATGATTCCGCCCCTTGTAGCAGCAGCTGCTGAAACGCAAGATGCTGTCTGTAGCATGCTCTCCATGTATATAACCATTCTTTTCCGCGGATCTAGTATTTTTTTCAAGGTATGTTTACTGTATATAAGCAGATGTATGGGTTTCTGAAGTCCGCATGCTCAATGAGCTCATTTGAAACAAGGGCACGACAGGTCTTTAGGAACTTAACAGTGAATGATGTTTCCATCCTGGCAGGCCACGTTCAAAGCTGTGAAAGATTCGGAGGCGACGATTTGATGGAAGCTGTCGGCAGGCACAGTTTAGCTTAAGCAAACAAGTTCTTTGTTCTTGTTGCCATCTTACCCTGAAATGGGCCAGTAGGAGCGGTTAGGCACAACCAGCAGAGGTCACATCGCAGGAAGGCATGCGCTGCACCATCATCGCTTTGTGGCTGCGCACCAGTCGCCCATCCAGCCACGCCTGCGCATCTATAGAAAGCACCCGGCTTTGATCACAGATCAGCACGACTGGATAAGCGAGCACGCAAAAAAAACAGATCGTGTGCATCTTTTGCACGCATTCTCTGAAGCGCAAGCCGCTTTATGTAGTGTCGCGGACTTGCACGTTGTGGGTGTCTTGGGTGTCGCATTGCTGGGGGTGGGGCTCGGGTCGGGGGGCGGGATGATAGTGCTCGTTGTGGCTGCTTCGCCAAGCAGGCTGCGGATGTGCACGTCGTGTGTGGGGGGTGGCAGAAGTTCAGGTTTTCCGACCATGAAATGAAACACTGTTGCTGCGGAACACAGAGAACTCACTGTGCGTGGAAGTGGATTGCGAAGCAGTTGCCTGGACAAATCCATGCAAACGGCTTCAACGAGGTGTCAGCCCAAAAATTGCGGACTATGCTTAAGCATCCATGTTCATGGCGAGCACGCGGAAATGTCGGTGGGATGCGGTCGGAAGCTTGGCACAAGACTTCAACAAGCGAAAAAAGGCTTTGCACGTTTGCGGAGCCATTGGGAGGGCTAACCAGGACGTTGCATTGTTCCTCTATTGTCTTTTTTGTGAGCGGGCTCTTTCCGTCCTGCGTACGCCACCATAACTTTGCCTTACCAACCTTCGTCGACCCTGCCTTTCTCAAGGTGTGATTTTCCTCCAAAACTACTTTCCCACAACCTTCAGAAGCTCTCTCCAGTTTCTGGGTTTTGGGTTTACTCATAGTAGCAAAAGTGTTCTAAGACGCTCTTCAATACACCTTGGATCAAAATGAATCCGACACTTCTCACGCCTTGCCAGGTGTACGTCATCTCGCGGAGGTTGCAAGCGGAAGGGAAGCAGAGAGGTGTTTCACGCTTTTGTGGGTTTGCAAATGTTCTGGTACAAAGTCACGCCTCCATCCAATAGAAGAATGTCGGGGTTTACACCGATCAGAGCGGGATGATCCAGCAAAAGACATGGCTTTAGAGCACTTGTACAGAAGTACCAGGACTTTATTTAGTTTCAAAAGAGTCCTGGCCAGCAGATTGCCAATAAGACTTCAACTTGCTGTAAGATTTCATGATTGTCCTGTGCATTTGACCTACCCGATGAGCCAAAATGCACTGGAAGTGGTGAAGAGGTGCGATAGTGATTTGCAAAAGAAGATCCCACAGTCTGCTAGGCACAGTCCAAACAAACACTTCTAGACAAACGTAACAGGCACAATGTCAGACGATGTTTCTCTTTAAGCGTTTTGCAAACCTTGCTTCGTCCTTTTGCAAGAGAAGAAAACGGTGGACTGTGCGTGTGGGCCCCGCGGCCAGGCACTTCAAAGCTCACTTCAACCGCAAAGGGCATCATTTCAAGGAACCTTCTTCGCGGACCATGCCTTTCCTTGTGGGCATGTTCTTCATGCCAGAAGTGCATTGTGGTGTTGGTTGGCACAAGGCATTGGCCAAGCAAGGTGGGACATGCATTGTACTGTGGAGCTAGGAAGGTGATGATGTCCTGACCATGGACTATCGACTGAGTCGAATCAAGCCTTTGCAAGCCAGGGTGCCCACTCAATGTGTATGCAAATACAAATGACAGACACAAACCAAGTTTACAGACTTCTGACACACAACTCAACTCACAGAAATTTGAGGATGAGAGTCAATCCTCCGACCTGAGGAGTATTGTTCGCTTCTGGATGAGGACTGCCAGTGGGAAACTTCTGACAGACCTACTTGCCACGGTCATTTTCGTTTGCTCTGCGTGGTAGGAGCAGCCGCAGTCACATTGTCATAGCACTTTCTCAAAGTTGTGAAAATTTCTGAGCCTCGTTTTTCCTAGGTTTCACACTGCAACGGCATGCAACGGCAGTTTCTTCATGGAACATCGCCCAGTCAAACATAGCTTGCAGTATGCCTTCGGTCTTCCGGGCTATTGCTTCAAGTTGTTGTTCTTTGCACATGAGACAACAGTTTCCTGATAGAGCTTGTTCCACAGAGTCCGAAACAAGCTATTGTCTGACAGGTGCCAGTGCTTTGGCCCCTTCTCCAAGCGGAACGTGCGGAACTTGGATTGGGGTACCGCGGAGCGGAACGCGCGAAATTGGCTGAGGCTGGGAATTGGCCTGCAATGCTTTGGGTCTTTTCACGTTCAGGCGAGAGCTGTGATTGCAATCAGGTTGAGAGAGTTGTCAAAGCATCAGGCATCATTTGAACCTAGTTGAACCTTTGATGATATTGATGTGTCCAAAAGAGGGCAACCAAATTGGGTGACAAATGCCACTGTAGGCCTGGAGAGCGCATCATCACCCAGGGCGTGCAGCGCAAGGCTCGTGTGGGTGGGTAGGCACTGATAGACTTGGATGAATCTTCACAGTTTGCGATCAGAGACTATTTTGTCGTTTGATGTTGTTCTTACTCGACGGATTGTGGCTACGAACTCCAAAGTCTTGATTGCTCGAGCTCATCAGCCTTTGGGCTGGCTGGAGCCTAGACCATCAGCATATAACTATATCTGATTTGGAATGAGTCTCAGGCTGCTCTTTGGTATATCATTGTCTCTGGAAGTTGCGCTGGCAGCCCCAGAAATGCGTGAAACAGAAGAGGTGGTACTGCCAAGGGAAGGGTCTGCAGCAGCAGCAGCAGCAGCAGCACCAGCAGCAGCAGCTTCATTCAGTCATTCTCAATTCTTTAGCAATATTTGTTCTGGCTGTGGCTCGACCGAGGTGGTTTCGGCCAAGCAGATTTCATTGGGCAAGGCACCATCGTGGTTGGAGACAGCTTTTGTCCGACAGTTTAGAGCCTCACTGACCACGGAGGGGCCAATTTGTTGTGAGCAGTTGACTTTCTTGAGAGCTGCTGTCATTTCAGGAGACGGTGCACCGGCTTTCTGAACTGCGTCGCCCAGGCCTGACATGTGCTGACCTGCCCACTGACCGACACACTGGTCGCATTTCCACCAGCTGCTGGTTGGAACGTGAGCAAACCAGTGTCCAGCTGCAAACCGCGGTCCTTGTTTTGAAGCCTGGAGTCCTAAAGACCGGTGCACCAGGCCATTTTGGCGAACGCTCACTGCTGCGAGGAGGAGAGTGTGCAGTTCCTGAGGTCAGTGATCGTTTGGGATGTCAGAATCATGTG